TCAGTTAACCTGACATTTCGTGATGTGCATTATGACCAGTAAATTCACACTTTGTGTAAAGAGATTTCACACATTGAGCTCTGGTTACAGGTGTAGAATTGCAGCATATGGAAACATCAAGTTGTATGAGCCCCTTTTGGGGTCCTAAGGGAGCTGCCAAGTTTGATGAATTGCCTCAAGTGAAAAAATAAAATCAGGGCATGTGTGCAGACCTCTGTTGCCCACTCTTTATCTCTGTTTGAGGGCTGCAGGAACCGCTGCTGACATTATGGACCCAAATCTGTGATCAAACTGTCGACGGTCGCGGTGCTTTCAGCGGAGTAGTGAATTGCTCAGCTGAATCATTGTTCCTTAAAAGCCTGTCAACACACCAAATAGCAGCACTCATCTTGCAAAAAGAAAGCTTTTGCAGCCACACTAGCTATAGCCATACGAGCTATTCTGGATATTTTTTCTACTATGGAAGAGAAGAAAAGTCTGAGTTTGCTTTGGTGTGAAATGGGGATCCACTTTGCAAAAAAATATCAGCGTCAGCCATCAAAGCCTGAGCTGAAATCTTGTCTACAGGGCTTTTGAAATGAACCTGAGCCGTCTGCACGGTGAATACAAACAGAAGCAGAGAGAGAGAAAAGTGGACTCATCGTGCAGCTTATCTGCCAGGTTGAAAAGGGAGCTTTTTTTTGCCAAAAGGTTGATGCAGTGAAGCGAAAATGACTGCATCTGAGAACAGAGTGTGCGGCATTAATACTGTAAGGATATTTCCTCAGTAACCCATTTCTGTTTTGTCTCTTCCGTCTTCTTCCAAAACTCTTGATTTCCCTGCCACACTTTCCCGTTTTAAAACCTCTCTCTCTCCTCCTTCTCTTTCAGATCCAGAAATGGCACGGCTATTGTTTCTGATTCTTCTCTGTGCTCTTCCGTCTCTCGTTGTGCCCATACATAATTCATCAGCTGGAGGTAATTTGTGTGCAGGAATCGGTGTGTGTGTGTGTGTCTGTTTACAATATTCAGTAATGGACAGAAGTAACTCCACAGAGATTGCTAAGTGACCCGAATGAAACGCTGCAATTTGTGCAGCGAGGAAGGCGTCAGTTAAACTGATAATATATCATGTTGCTGTAATATATCTGCATTATCTGGAGACATAGAGCTTTCTTTCTATGCGCTTATCGTCCTTCATTCTGCCTCCTCCTCCTCCTTTTTTTCCCCTTTCCCCCAGGCTGTGCCATCATCCGGCCTCCCAGGGATGGTGGGATCCGCTACAGAGGCCTAACACAAGAACAGGTACAGAGAATCTGGTTACTGCACTATTGAAGCTCAGCAGTCAAATCAATCACATGAGACTGCTGCCAGTTTGAAGATTTCAAAACAAGCGACACAGAAGTAGATTTGTGTCTGCTAAAAAATAAATAAATGTAAAAACATCTCATATAATTATTTACCCATATGCACCTGAAAATATAAAAACAGGCATTTAATAAATTTAAAAATGT